CCTCTGGCTTTTGCAATGCGTGAGCTGACATCAGTTTCTATGCGCCCATCATTGCTGACGCAGCTGCCAAGATAAGTGAAATGATCAACCACCTCGAGTTCCTCGTTAGCAAGCGTCAAGGGGTCATCAAGTAGCTGGTGGTCCTGCAGCAACACTTTGCACTTTGAAGGTGCGAAGTGCATACCAAATAATGGGACCACTCTGGACAGGCTATTCAGGGTTGATTGTGCCGCTGCAACTTCGTCGAAAAGCAAGACGATATCGTCCGCATAATCTAGATCAACTAACCTTCTACCAGGCAGCACTTCAACGCCTACATTGTGAGATTCTGCAAGGGAACACTCCATGATAGAATCCACAACGAAATTGAACAAAAATTGGGAAATCGGACAACCCTGACGAACGCCACTTGTGGTCGGAAAGCTATCCGATAGGACACCGTAAACCCTGACGCGGCCTGTAGTGTTCGAGTATAGAACACGAAGGATGTTCACATATTTCGTGGGAACACATTTCCGCGCAAGTATTTCGAACAGAATGAATCGATCGACTGAATCGAACGCACTATTGAAATCGAGGAACAGCTATTGTCGGTCTGCGGTATGCGCGGTGCTGCTCCAGCACCTGCCGCAGAGTGAATATATCGTCTATACAGACACGTGCTGGGCGGAAACCTGCTTGCTCTTCCCTAATCCGAGATTCCCGTTCCGCAGTGAGGCGACGAACGATAATCGAGCCCAATAATTTTGTCACAATTGGCGTTAGGCTAATACCCCTGATGTTAGAACAGTCTGTGCGACTGCCTTCTTGTAATTGCCACTATAATCGATTCGCTCCAATTAGCCGGGACGCTCTCTTCTTTCCAGACACATTCGAATAAGGAGGTCAGTGCTTTGCAGAGGACCTCACCTCCATTCTTAAATAGTGTAAGTGGGAGGGAATCCGGGTCAGCGGCACGAAAACGATTGAGGGCTGTAATCGCGTTTCGGACCTCGGCCTCTGACAGAGGCTCTGAACTAACCGTCCATGGCTCGTCCTGCATCACCTGAGTAGGAAGAGGTCCGGGAACAAGGGGCCAACTGAACTGATCTTGAAAGTATTTCGCCCAACGAGCCATACGGTGCTCCTTATTGTGTAGCTGCGCACCCGCGCTGTCTCTGATTGTGTCACTGACGCCTGGCTTTCTGGGATCAGTGGTACGGATAAGCTGGAAGAGCTTACGGTAATTGCCCACTGCTCCTGCCTCCATTTCTTGAGCCCTACTGGTCCACCAGGCTTCCTTGTCAGCATGCAGGCTCTGCTTTAGTTCACGCCTAATAGTCCGTCTGGTCACATTGTGTTCAGAGCCAGCCGGAAGGTGTCTTCTGGATTCCAACAGGTTCACCGACCTCTCGGATATCCAGTGACTGGTGAGGTGACGATTGACAGTGCTACAAGAAGAGGTTCCTGCAACGCGCATGGCGGTCGAGATCCTATTCCACTGAAGCTCAGCGTCATTAGGACAAGACAGCGAAAGTTCGGTATGCAGTGCGTCTTGATAGGCTTGCCTGACCGAGGACTGGGACAATTTCTCAGTTGCCAATCGTAGGGGACGTTTGGTGCGACTCCCGGTAAAGTTCATGGAGAAACGACAACGTACTAAGGCATGATCAGAGTCGACACAGATACTCCAGTACGAGCGGCAATCCAGGATGGAACCACGCCGTCTGTAACTTATGGTAATGTGATCAATTTGGGTCCATCGCTGGTCAGCTACAGAAGGACGCCAAGTGGCACTTCGGCGCCCACTGTGTCTAAAGCAGTGCTACTAAGAAACAACTGGTGCTCCGTACACAGTTGCAGCCGACCCTCAACATTGTCAGTCCGTTCGGAGTTAAGCCCACATTTACCATCTAGCTGAGCTTCTGAAGAGCTCAGGCGCCCTACTTGTGCGTTCATACTCGTGTTCTATACTGGGAGGGAACCGACAGAATCCAGCCAGCTATCGTCCCGTATGTTTGACTTCGATTTTGTGCAAAGTCATTGAACGGATTCTGAAACGGGCCCTTCGCCTACATCTCGATGATTTGGAGTTCCTATCTCCTGCCCAACATGGCTTCCGAAGGGCGCGTTCATGTGCTACAAATTTGCTGGTAGCTAGGGAAAAATGGGCAAGATCCTTAGATGCCGGTAAGCGTCTGGATGCTGTGTTTGTCGATTTCAGTAAGGCTTTCGACAAGCTCCCACATGAGCGGCTCCTCTTCAAACTCCGGGGAATCGGCGTCACCGGCAATTTTCTTTCATGGGTCTCCGATTTCCTGCAAGGTCGCTTCATGCAGGTCAAAGTCAACGAAGCGCTTTCTGATCAAATTCTCATGACCAGTGGGGTCCCCCAGGGTTCTGTACTCGGCCCCGAACTCTTCAATATCTTCATCAACGACCTGCCATCCGAACTGCAGACCGACTGCTTAATCTACGCTGATGATCTGAAGCTGTGGATTGAGGTTTCCAGTCTGGAAGACGCAGACATACTTCAAGCGACACTCGATCAGCTCCACGATTGGTCACTAAAGTGACAGTTGCCCATTAACCATGACAAATGCGCTATCCTTCCAATCGGTGCTCCTGAGCCTTTTGGGGCTTACCATATCGGGGGTTTCCTGCTCAGAAATGTCAACCAAGAGAGGGACCTTGGGGTGATTGTGTCTCCTGAACTCAAATCAATGGAGGACACCCGGAAGAGGGTCGCATCCGCATACAGGATACTTCACGCTATACGGAGAGCCTTTTCACGCCTGACCCCAGCACTCTTCAGATTACTGTTTGCTTCTCATGTACGCCCAGTTCTCGAGTACGGATTGCCTGCTGCGTACCCGCTCACTAAGTCAGAACGTGACATGATCGAGAAGGTTCAACGGCGTGGATCCAAATCCGTTCCAGAGCTTCGGGACTTATCCTACCTCCTCCGGCTACAACGGTTGAACCTGTTCTCTTTGGATTATCGTCGTCGCCGGGGAGATATATTCACCCGGCGTATTCTACGAGGTGAGCTGGGGAGTGAGCTGCAATCGTTCTTTTGTCTAAACACAAGTTGTGCAACTCGAGGCCACCGGTGGAAACTTTTCAAACCGCGGCGACTCCGTGTACGGTCCGATCTAGCCCTATCCACCCGGGTAGTGAATGACTGGAACAGCTTGCCAAAAGCTGTCGTCGATGCGGAGACTGAGGAATGTTTCAAACGACGGTTGGATACCCACTCTTTGAGTGCACAGGGATTCTGCTGCCCACAATACAACCATAGCGATCTTCTGCTGAACCTTGTTCCGCAATGATCCCAGCAACCCTCGCAATGTCCGGGAAGTGACGGAGCTGACATAGGAATTTCCTTCTGCTCTCTACTAACCAATGAACCAATGAACCATATCCCCTGCAAGTACTATAATATCTGAATTAGTAGCACTGCGTAATAGCGCATTCAGTTCGTGATAGAATGTGTCCTTGACAGCATTAGAACTGCAGTCCGTGGGAGCATAAGCAGAAATCACAAACAAACAGCGTTTTGTACTACTTCGTGAATCAACCTTAGCTGATGTCGTCAAACGGGCTGCACATAAACGGCCGTTCACCGGAATCCAATCAACCAAAAATGGCTCCTCCTCGGAGCTTAGAATGATACCTACACCAGCTTGACTCGTGAGTGCTGCATCGGCGTCTCCGGATGCGTGCAACCAATGACGAGAGGATAAGCCGGGTGCAGTTAATTCAATAACCGCATTAGGGTCATTGATCCTAGTTTCGGACACACAAAACACATCAATACCCAGTGTGTCCAAGGTGCGTGCGAGTGCAGCCTGTTGACCAGTTTGTCTTAAAGTGCGAACATTGAATGTCGCCATGGAAACGGGATAGCGTGGCCTTATAAGGGACTTTTGCCGATAGGTGCGGTGGGATGGTGGCTGCAGATGGTTCTACTCCAGTGGCATTTCGGTTGCTGTCAATTAAGCTGGGAATTATAGAAGGAAGGTTAGTAATGGGGGTCAGGATGGGAGTAAGAGAAAAAGGTGGAAAAGAAAGAAGGAAGGCGCCAGCAGTAGCATGTTTTCGCTTATCCGCCCTGCTGTATGCAGCAGATAAGGCGACCCTTGATAATCTGCGCGACGGCCGATGCAGGATGAAGTTTATGTTTGAAGAAAATGTCATGGTTGTATGTGGGCTGAGATACTGCCAGGACACCCAGACCTAGACAGGACGATTAGGGTCCTCATCCAAAGCCTTTGGCTCAAAAGGCGGTAATTGGTTAATTAGTGTTCTTCGGAAGTTTCGCTTTGGAACCATCAAAATCTCCGGACACCCCATTAACTTGTTTTAGTCCCACACTAACTCGTATGATGACTTATTGTCATAACCCAGTAGCGCAATGGATGAAGCAACAAAGAGCAACAATTTGGCTGTGGTAACAAAAATGTAGACGGTAAGAAAGAAATGTTGAAATAAGCAAGCAACCCGATTCCAGTCGTTGATGGAGGAAATGAAAAAAGACGTATCTGAAGGGATAAAGGAGTGTGTAGCGGTGAAAGCTGGAGGTTTTAGATCAAACAATGAATTAGTTTGAATGGCTAAAATGCAGGCGCTCTAAGCACCAAAGTACGCACTGGAAATGAGTTACTAATAGATAAAACAACAATTAAAACCAAAAGGCGGTAAAGTGCCATGACGAATATGAGTCTATATGAGTCTGCAAGGATGCTTCCCTACCGTGTACTTATTAACACCAATGCGCAAAATGGGATTGTAAAGGCGCCCAAATCATTGTTGGCGTCGATAGTAGACTGCGCAACTACCAATGGTTGATAGAAGGCGTTAACGCTGCTAAATCAGAAACCTACAAAGGCTCGAAGGTGGGTAGTTGGCCACAAGCCAGTCAACTTAAATAATCCGTCCACAGTGCAGTTCATACGGCCCTGTGAAATGAGAAAGCGTACACACTTGTCCTTTACCCAGCAAAGTGAAGTACAGAACGATCCGTAATCAAAACGCTCTTTATTACACTAGTAACCAGCACTTTCTTTCATAAGCTGACGCTTCATTTTTTTCTTGGACTCCTTTTTCTTGACGGGCTGAAGTGCGTTGGTAGAGATCTTGGGAACAATGTCATCCTTTGTAGCTAAAATGACTTCGACGTGGCACGGAGAGCACATGTATGGGTTAATTCGACCATGAGCACGGTAGGTGCGTCTGCGCATAACAGGAGCTTGGTTGACCTATTGGCTGGTTAAATTAATATTATGGTTTACCTGAATGTGTTTTATGAAAAGCCGGCTAGCTTCGCCACCTTTGATATCCTTATTGACTCCGTTGCTAAATGCGTTGTGAAGTAATTGGAGTAGCATCTGAGCGGACTTTTTGGGCCAGCGTCCTTGGGTAGTACCCCACACTTTAGCCTGTGCGTGACGTCCAATACCACCGTTAAAGCGTCTAAATGGCACGATTTCTTTCTTCTCAATGACATTTTTCAAATACGTTTGCGCACGTTGCAAGGTCATACCCTAGCGATGTAAATTATATATCGTAAAACTAACTTTGATTGCACGTGCGCACTCATGGGTGTTCTTGAAATGCGCCCTCAGATATGGGATGCGTGCTTTACAGGTGCGACTCTCGTCCTCGTCCTTCGGTTCCCAAGAATACTTCACCATTACGGCACTACAAAGAGCGTACCGACGATGTCGAGCGATAAAATATCTGCAGAACCAGAGAAACTGCGACTAGCAACAGTATTAACCAAATGTAAACGTGATCCAAATACCAAATAATCTCGAACAGCTAGTTGCAATAGTGGACTATAAGACGTGACACACTAATTTAACGTACGGAATTAAACCCCTGTTTAGTTTACTTATATAAACTGTTTTCAACAATATGTACACAATATGGATACATAGTTCACTGGGAGTTCAAATGTATTGGTTTCAATATTAATTTAGTGATTCGAAGTTGCAGTTACCCAATAAACAAACACTATGTCAAATTATACAAAGGGTAGTAAAAAAGAGCAATAAATTCAGTTCTAAATAATACGCTTATATTAAGACATATGGGTATAAGCACCTTTCAAAGTAGCCAATGAAGATTAAAACTGCAGTAGTACGCGACTGCTAGGTTAATGGGGTCTGTTACCTAAAAAAATAAAGACAAATTCAATCCGGTATAGGAGTATATCGTTGTACGTGACGATGAACGCGATGAACACTATTTACGCGCCACGGAGTTTTGACACGCCCCCTATATGGCACGTGAGAAACCTGTGAATTATAGATGGAGAAAATGAAATAGCCCATTAAAAGACGTTATCAAACAATGCTAAAACGGGATGCCTCGATTACATTTAGCCAAAAAGGTAATGTAGTGAGTGCACAAGAAATATTATGTACAACGCAACCATTAAATGGGGCTGTGTATTACAACTCCTGACCAAAAGATTTACTAACATACACTACGTGAATTACTGCATTAGCTTCATATTTTTCTGCATATTGTGACACGATTGTTTACACTCACGATATTGTGAATGTTGCGTTCTCACGCAGTTGAATGGGGTACCTATCCTTACTCAAGTTATTCTAATAAAATAAAAATGCCAATCGGACGAAATCTGCCATAATGTCCGCTGCATGATACCGAGTTTCACATCAAAATGAAAATATCTAAATCACCACCGGCTTTTTATCAGTGAAATCAAAGGTTGCTGTTTGCTGCTCAGAACTTTATTGTTCATTGAGTTCATTGAGTTGTAGCGAGCAGGAGGGAAATCCCTTGTCAGCCCCATCGATTCCGTATCATACTGGGTTTGATGCGTGTCGTTGCATTACGACGTTCCGCGAGAGCTCGTCGCAATTGCAGTGACTGCCGCAACGTTCCAGCATTCTCAGAGAATGTCTATCAGCCGCTTGAAACTTTCCTCGGATGGAGCGTCTGCAATTTCTTCCGGTAGGCTGTTCCAATCCTTCACCACTGTAGTGGATATGGTGATGTCCATGCGAATTCTGTGTCTTCTTTGCTAAAACAGCTACCATGTGTGACCTCGTGTGGAACAGTCAGTGTTGCGCAGGAAGAATTGCTGTAACTCACTCCCAAGTTCCCCTCGGAGGATGCGCCTAGTGTAGATGAGATCACCCCGGCGATGGCGGAGCTCGAGGGAGAAAAGATTTAGCTGCTGGAATCGAATGGGTTACGGGAGATCACGAAGCACCAGAACAGCTTTCGATGCACGTCTCTGAACATTTTCCAGCAGAGCGCATACAAACTTTGAAGGCGGATGGATAGCTAGTAGGCCATATTCTAAGACTGGACGGACGTACGAAGTGAACAACGGTCGAAAAATCTCAGGAGTCATTCGAACGAATGATCTTCTTAAGTAACCCACCAGTCTCCTCCCAGTGGCCACCTTCTTTAACGTGTCCTGCGTCGTTCTAAGGTCAGAAGTCACGATAACCCCTGAGATCTCTATCGTGGGTTGTATTCCTAAGGAGGAACCCACCAATATGGTATGCACCGTATGGTTCAGTGCTACCCATAGGGAGCACAGCGCACTTATTTCGGTTTACTGTCAGTTCCCACTTGATGGACCATTCGCGTAGCTGGTCTAGAGCCCCTTGTAATCTATCCGCATCCTCAATGCTGGATACTGTTGACCATAGCTTGAGGTCACCGGCGTAGATCAAGCAGTCGGTTTGAAGTGCAGTAGGCAGATCGTTAATGTACAGTTTGAAGAGCTCCGGTCCAAGCACTGATCCTTGGGGAATGCCACTATTCATAGGCACTGGAGCAGAGAGGGTTTGAAAGATTGTCATGAAGTATCTCGCATGCTCATCATTATGCTAAATGATTCTTGGACTTACATCAACGTTGTAGAATCAGTCCTGGACCTCGGCGGATTTAGCTCCTATCACTTGGATTATTAAGGTGCTCATTTGAACTATGTTTGTGGCGGAAGTATTTACTTAATTTTATCGCTTCTTAATCTAATCAAATAGTTTAGTTTTGGACGCAATTAACCCTTGTTTACATTTTAAATGTCAGTGGAAGGTGTTTTCACGCTAGTAATTTTATAAAATCCCTACCAGGCTGGGCATAACGGTCCACGGCCGAGCTTTTTGCTGCTGTATTTTCCAGTTTTCTATATCAATACGACAAACCGTTATGATTTCCAAATGTATATATTGTGGCAAACGCGTCACCCCCTGCTCAAAAGCTGTGCAATTCGCTCCTTGCGAAGGGTGGCTGAACACTTCGTGCTGTAACCTCAATGACGCCCTATATGAATGCCTCCAAAACACTGCCACTGAGGTCGGGCACTCCCATTGTGACTCACGTCGAGTATTAGTTAATTACAAACGCCTTCTGGCTAAACCTCATCTTCGCAGTATATGTAGTCGTGTCGCCCTGACTGTGTACCATAAGGAAGATGAGTCACCTTTATCCTCGATATCCGTACCTGCATCTGGGTCTGTCACACCCACACCAAACCGAAGCCGCACTCTCTCCGCTACGTCGGCCAAGTCATTACCTTCCAATAAGCTGATTTGTCTGCCGGAACATATGCTCAAGACGTATGCTGTCGTGGCAAGCGCCACCGCTCCAACAACAACCAGCCTTTGTCCAGTTGAAAGCATGCCCACAAGGAAACTGGTCTCTAAGCCCAAAGCGAAATCGAACACCTGCGATAACTCTTCCCATGACAAGGCGTGTGTGCTTGGTAAGCAGAACTCAAGCGTCTTTGGCAGTGGAACTCAGTGGACCAGTAAAGGGAAGTGTGACCAACCTTAACCAGTCAAAGCCCAGCCTCCAATGCTGCCCAGTTTATTCCCTAATCCGGGAATAAACCTAATTCTAAGCTGTCAGCATCTCAGTCACAAATGAAGCTAGTTCTCAATAGACTTGCGAAGCTGGAGAAAGTGCTGAAAGATGATCCTCCCCCCTTGAAGACCGCAAATCCCTGAACGCACTCCACCTTCTCGGGACCGTTGCCTCATCATTTTGAGCGCAGTCGAATCGAACAAATCCACCCCAGCGGATATAATTTTGGAGGACCAAATGCTTCTTGAGCGGTTAGTCTCTTTGTGCTTTGATGAAGGCGAACAGGGAATTAGCATTGTCTCTGCATTCCATCTCAGTAGTAAGCAAGAGGATTCACCCAATGTTCGCCCCCTTAAAGTCTTGTGCCAAAGAGAAGAGGAATGCCGACGTATTCCGTGACGGACCTCACGTCTCATCGGTGAGCCGTTTTACGTACGGCGTGACCTTTCTCTAGAGGATTGGATCAAAATGAAAATGCTGTTGAGGATGTGCGAACATGCCGTAGAAGTGGTGAAACAGTCCACCATATCGTGGAGTTTTGCATGGTTCGGAAGACCCTGAACGCCAGTTGGAGACCTATTCTCCTCATCCCGAGATAATAAATCACACAAATGGACTACGCTTTTTGACCGCTAATCTGCGCCATCTAAGAAACAAATTGGATGGGATTCAGTCGATTGCCTTAGAGACCCGTCCAGACCCGTTGGCCTTCACGTAAACCTGGCTATTCACAGACATCATGGATCCAGAGTTGTCTATCCACCGTTATCGCCTCTCCAGATCCGATCGACAAAGAAGGAGGTCCGGCGGTGTTGTAATGTTCTATTGGAAGACGGATATCAAAGTACATTTAGTTGAAGCGATCAGTGAAAACGACGATGTGTTCGATGCCCTCTGGTGTCGTGTTCATCATGGACGGAGTTCTCTCAAATTTTGTGTCGTCTACAGAAAGCCTTCAGGATCCGGAGCCCGCTTGATGGACTCGATTAGGAGGCATGGTGCAGGATAGGACTATCTTTTCGTTGGAGATTTCAATGCTCCTTCCGTTGACTGGAACCTGCTACATTGCGACGGACCTACAGACTCCTACCATGTCTACTCACTGGAGTCTATGCTTCATTGTACTTCGCTTCAACATGTTGCTCTATGAACGCTCCTTTACATCGGTAACTCAAGCGTCATAGCCTCTGCAGGCTCAACGCTAGGTTTCCTTACCCCTAGAGCCTGCTAATCTTGTCCACCATTTATTGATATCTCATTTCTCACCTTTACTACATGTCCTTATCCAAACTCGCCGACTAATCCAGTCCTACCCGACCGGCCTCCCACTCTCCGAATTCATTCAGACTTGTGAGACGTCACCTCTCTTGGTTCGGCTGATTCAATTACCCGGTTACATTACCTGGAGAACTTCGTGGGCTTTTCCCATCTCTCGTCAATAAACCTTTCCCATCCTGACCCTAACTTTTATTATCGCGCACTGTTTTCATTTCTTCTTCAACTGAAGTGCCCGGTCTCATTGCGAGATTCTAACCATTCCGACCGATTAAATTGCTTTTCGAAGTGCTCAGCCCAACGCTCCAAGCGTTTTGACAAGTTGTGGATAGCTCTGTCCACTCTCGTCACTAACACCAGGTCTCCTGTTACCCGTTTCCCGTATTAGACGGAATAACTTACGATGGTTACCAAGGGCAGCGGCCATTTCCATCTCTGCTGCACTATTAGACCCCCAGAATTCGCGGTCTCTCTTCAGGCTAGCACGGAGTTTTGCCCGGAGCTCTTTGTGAGTTTCATTGTATTCGCTTCCAGCCGGAATATGCCGGCCAGCATCGATAGGTTCCAGGGACTGTGAAGAGACCCAATGTCCATGTTGGCGCTTAGACACACCACATGAGGATTTTCCTGCTGATAGTAAGGTCTGATGAATATGAGACCAGTGAGCTTCAATTGCATCCAGTGAGCGCTTATTCATCTCACATGACAGGGCACTTTGATAGGCATTCAGAACAGCTGGCTTCGCCAGTTGGCTGGTGTCAATGCGTTCAAAATGTCGTCGTGGG